AACGGCCTACAACCCATCGCATACGAGTCACGAAAACTGCATCCGCCTGAGAAAAACTGCCCGATACACGACCGCGAAATGCTCGCGATCGTGCATGCGTTCAAGGTGTGGCGCTGTTACTTGACCGGCGCAGACGTGACAGTACGGACAGACCATAAATCACTACAGTACCTCCGCGCACAACCATACCTCAACCCACGACAGATTCCCTGGCTCGATTTTCTCGAGTCCAATTTTCACTACACGGTCACCTACAAAAAGGGAGCCTCGAACATCGCCGACGCACTAACCCGCCCCACTGCCCAGATCCAAACAATACTACTCGCCCAGATCAGCCCCCTACTGACAGGCCTATTTACCCACGGGTACCAAACGGATCCATTCTTCACAGAAGGAAATTCGCAGCAGTTCGCAGCAGCAAGGGGAGTCTATTACGTAAAAGCCGGGACCGACCGCATCTGGGTGCCCGGGTATACACTGCTACGGGAATTACTGTTACAGGAGGCACACGACGGAGTTACCTCGGGGCATTTTGGGGTAGAGAAAACATGGCAGCAGCTGCAGCGGTATTATTACTGGCCCGAGATGTTGACCGACACGACACGTGGCATCGTGTCCCACTTGCCAGCTCATGAAATCATCACGGCAGCGGCCGGCAGGACAGTTGCAGCCGATACCACCCCCAGAGCGTGCTTGGCAGCAGGTGACGATGGACTTCGTCACGGGGTTACCGGCCGGGGCGAGTAGGAACGACGCGATCCTGGTCGTCGTCGATCGACTGGCGAAAATGGCACACTTCGCAGCCTGCAAAAAATCAATCACAGCCGAAGAAACAGCACGCCTCTTCATCTCCACCGTCGTTCGACTGCACGGGATACCAGCAGCAATCATCAGCGACCGCGACACGAAATTCACCAGCAACTTCTTGCGGAACCTGTGGCAGCAGTTCAGCACGCGACTACAGTTCAGTTCTTCGTACCACCCCGAAACCGACGGTCAGACAGAACGGACAAACCAGAGCAACTCATCCGAGCCACGTGCGACGACCCAACCACCTGGGAACAACAGCTGCCACTCATTGAGTTCGCATACAACAACTCACCATCCGCCACGACCCAACAGTCACCGTTTTACCTGAACTACAGACAAGACCCGACAGTACCCATGACCCCGAATCCCGACAACCCGGTGCCACGAGCACAACAGTTCGCTAAATTTTACAAGCAGCACGGACCCGGGCAGCAGACGCAATAAAAAAATCGAACATCATCGCTAAACGTAACGCCGACCGCCACCGCCGACCTGTCACTTACCAACTTGACGACCTAGTTTTATCGACACTCAGAATCTCCGCCTGCCCATCACCCCAAAACTCCGCCCTCGATATTGCGGGCCATTTCGCATAAGCCACATGATTACGCCCGTCACCGCCCATCTCATCCTCCCCGCTGACTGGTACGTCAGCCCGTCCTTCCACGTCAGCCTACTTCGCCCCTACATACCGTCCACAAGCCAACTACCACGTAATCGCCCAGCCAGTATGACACGACCGCCGACTGAACCAATCATCACACCCGAGAAAATTCTTAGCCACAGAGTTCGTGACCCTCGAGGAGCCCGAAGGATCGAGTTCCTGATCCACTGGAAAGACCGTACACCCACCGAAGACAACTGGGTTCCCCTGGACAGAGTCGAAAACCACCCCGTCCTCACAGAGTATCTGCGCAGCCGAAACTTCAGGGACGTACACGCGCTTTCGTAAGGAGGACCTCCTTAGGGGGGGGGTAGTGTAAGGAAAATTCCTTTTCCTTACTTCGCGCCCCCATTCAGCGCGTACACCACTGCAGCACCACAGTCAGCACCGTTACCACTCGCAACCCTCGCATCGACAATCCTCCAGCCACCTTCGCACGTCGCACCTCGACCTCACGGCTCAGCGGGTAACCCGCGCTCCGGACCTCCGCTTCGACATTTTCCCCAAACCTCAGTCCCAGGCCCGTCGCGCGACAACCACAGTCCATTACCGTTACCACTGTAGTTTCGCTATATATTCTTCGCTCATGCCTTCGCTCATTGTACTCTTGCTTCGATAGTGCAATTCTCGCTCGTTCACTCAATTGCACTCGTAACACTTGGTAATCAGAGCCTACGATCTCTTCTCGGACCGCACCCACAACTTCGCTTCCCCACTATCTCAATTTTTGGAAGCAGGCTTCAATTTCATTTACAGTTTGTTTCACTTATTGACTTTCCAGAAATCGGACTCATACTGAAGTGGTTCTCGGTGCTGGTTGCATTGGTGCACCAATCTGGACTTGTGCAAAGCGGTGTGAAGATGGAAGGTAATCAATGGCACGGCAAGGGTTACGCCACGTTGCATGCTACGGGGGACGCTTCACGAATCACTGCAGTCACGTGATACAGTACACCCCAAACCAGCCTCCCCAAACCTCGTGTCGTTTTCTGGTCTGGTATCCAGGCTTCTCAATTCGTTTTAGGGTGGTCTGGTATCCAGGCTTCTCAATTCGTTTTAGGGTGCCCTGTCTTATCAGATCGGAATGCACAGCACCCTGCCTCTGCAGTGTGGTCCGGCAGCCAAACCCAAGAAATATCAGTGTGATTTTTTTAGGAGGTCGTATATGGCAGTGTGATTTTTTGTTTTCACCCTGCCATCCTTCGCTATCTTGCCTGACTAACCTCATACTCTGCGTGATGTGATGTCTGATTGGTGTGGGGTGGTTTGGTTTAGTCGTGTGAGGGTGGTGGTGGTGAGGTGGAGGGGTGAAGTCACGTAACAAATGTGAGTGAGGTAGGTACTTCGACGAATTTTGGGGTTGATGGGCTGGTTCGTGTGAGGAGGTGTCAAGTACTTCGACGAATTTGAGAAATTTCGGCAACTTCACAGATTCTCCGCCAATACAGATTCATATGTTTCAACCAGGCATGACAGCCTAGCAACTCGAGTCGAGATATCTGTACAAGCGAAAATTTGGCAGGGTGCACGCCAAAACGAACTCGTACAGTGCAGTGTCCCACATCGGCCCACATCCTGAAGTGTCCTAGCCAGGGCTGACGATTCAAGGGCAAATGCCCTTAATGCCCTGAACATTAAGGGTCGGGTTCGGCCCAGCTTCCGAATCTTAAGGGCTGGCTTTGAGGGCAGCCCTTTCCCGCAAAGTGCTGGTTGTGGGCCTAACCCGGATTTCAAGTGCAGATCCCGCGGCTAGCCCTTATCGTCCCATACTAATTCCTCCCTCCCTCCCATTCGCTCACCAGTCCTCCCACCTCCTCCAAGCCACTCCCCCTACTTCCTTTTCCCATCCCCGTCAAATCCATCGACATGTTTCTTACCTCAGACTATTACCTAGCTGGCTCTTAGTAGTTTGCCTAGGATTCGGACCCGAAGAGATGGAGGTTTTCCTTAGCGAAAGTGCAGAAAAGTTGGTAGCCCTTATTTCAAGGGCCAGGTTTGCTTTCAGCCCGTAAATTTCAGGGCAACTTTTGGGGCACCTCAGCCTCTCAAGTTCTGGCTCCAAACCAATGGACAGCCCTGGTCCCAGCTAGTTACGGCGTGTTGCAATTGGCGGTGTACTGCATCGGCTCGGGACGTTTGGAGGGCCCCAGGCAGGCGGGAGGCCAAACACGGGCACTGATTCGGGAAAGAAAAGTTTCAAGATAGTGATTAAAAGAGTTATTTTCTCAAGGCTATATTAGGACATAGTTCTCTTTGCGCGTTTCCTGTAAAACATTTACGGCCTCTTGCGTTCCTGGAGCCTTCCTAAACCCGTGCCACGAGCCGAGCCGATGCAGTGCACCGCAAATTGCAACTCGCCGGCTGTGGCACTTCCGAAGGGTGAGGTCCCGGGATCTAATCCCCCGTGCGGCGTGTCCTCAGCCAGCCCCCCAGAAGGGGGTTTCGCACGTGCTCACCTAGGGAGTGGATATGACTACAGATGTTCCTGCTTAGAGGCCCTTGTTGAGAGAGTCCCTTTTCCCCCCGGAGTAGAATTTTCCGATATCGCCTAGGGTTGGCCCGACCCCTATATTCCCGTTTTTGGCGGGAAATTTTGCAGCTTGACCGAATCATTGCACGAATCATCTCCGCAGCCAATCAGAGGCTCCAGATCAAACCATCCCAACATTCAAAGAAAACGATGAAAAGAGATCATCGATTCGATATAACTTTTTAATTGTAAATAATTGTTTCTCTTGACCGCGACTAATTCTCAATCCTGTCGCGCTGTCTCCAGCGGTACCTCGTTACCCAGCGAGGCTGTGTAAACAAATGGGTGGGCGGGCTACGACCGACAGCCGGGGTACCACCAAAGGGGGTTCCCCCCCCCTCCTTCCCCTACCCGCATCGGCCCACAACAAGACTGGTTGGGTGTTTTCAAGCCTTGCCAGCCAGTGACAGGGTGGAGGACATTCAAACCCAAGTTTAGCAGAGCGACCCTAAAACATCACCCTAAAATGCAGGGCAAACAGGTTAAACCGCTCTGATATCCTGAGCCCTGCTGGTATCCCCTAACTGTACAGTAGTCCTAACTCCCTCCCCAGCCACGTCTGCGACCGTGCGGAGGCGAGCCAACCAAGACACCAACACCCCGACCACAGTGCAGTCCAGCATAGCAGTGGCAGCAGCACTCGTTCTGGGGGAGTGGGTGGGTGTGGGTGGGCGTGGGTGGTGTGGCGTGGATGGGACTGCCGAGCCGAGCCGAGCCCGATTCTCGAAACGGATCCAACCCCACACTCAATTTCGATGCGGCCACCTCGACGACGCAGCGGATGGATAGGGTTTCAAAAAGTGGCAGTGGACCAAGTGACCCTCACAATTTGGCTCACCTCAAAGCGGGTCGAGGTCCGGGTCGCGGAGATTATGGGTGTTCGGAGGATCCGCGGGCGGAATCAGCGGATCGCGCAGGGGCATGGGCGCAACGGCTGCAGCGGTAGTGGCAGGGGCGGTGGCGGGGGCGGGGGCGCAAGCGCGGGACGTGTGCTCGATGCACGCGGGGCGTTCCTTGGCGATCCTGAGCGCGGGGGATAGGAGCACGGGCGGAGGGGGGAGCATGGGCGGCGGGGGCTCCATGAGCGGACGCGGAAGCACGGGCGGGCCGCGGATTAAGCGGAACTTGACAGCAGCGCAAATGTGGGTCGCTGATGGGGCATGGGAAGAAGGTGGGGGAATGAGGCGAGCGGGAGCGGAGGGGGTGTAAAGGGCGAGAGGGGAAGGCTATAGCGGTTATAACGGTTGTGAAGGCTATAGCGCGTCCCGTTGTTTGCCTCCCTCCCACGCAGGGTCCTTTTCCCTCCACCACTCTCCCCTCTCTCCTCGTCTACGCCCCAAGAACGAAAAAGGAAGAAAGAAAAGAAACCAAGAAGAAGAAAAAAATGACCCGACTCTCCTTCCTCTCCCCCCACCCCGCCCGTTCGTTCCCATCAGATCGCAGCAGGCAACTGCATTGCGGGAGGGGCGGACCATGTGCGAGCTGCTGCGCGTGCAGCAGCGGGGCAAGGGGCGGCATCTGCTCATCATGGCGCATGGCTTCGGCGCCAACCATGCTGTGAGTGCGGGGGATGGGACTGGACTGGACTGGGGTCACCGATGTTTTAGAGCTGGCTTGAATTGAATACTGGTGCCACGCGCACTGTGAGGGCATCACGCGCATCTGCTCATCACGGCGCATGGCGCATGGTTCTGGTGCCAACCATGCTGTGAGTGACAGGGATGGGACTGGGAGGCGAATTGAGAGTGGGGATCACTGCACTTGTTGAGTCGATGTGAGCGGACCCAGGGATGGGTGGTGTGTGGGTGGACGGCAAGGGATGGCAAGGGACGGCAAGGGGCGGCAAGGGGCGGCATTTGCTCATCATGGCGCATGGTTTCAGTGCCAACCATGCTGTGAGTGACGGGGATGGGACTGGGAGGCGACTTGAGTGGTACATACACCCTTGCTCCGCACCTTCTGTCACCCCCTTCATCCTCCCCTCGTCCAATCCTCCCTTGCTCCTTCCATCTTTCATTCTTCCCCTCCTCTCCTCCCCTTCCCCTATCCACCCATCCCCCCACCCCTTCCCCCCCCCAGCAATGGAAGGACGTGGTGGAGCTGATGAGTCCTGACCGCTTCACAGTGCTGCTCTTTGTTTCCCCTTCCTCCCATCCCCCCATCCACCCATTCACCCCCACACTCCTGCCCCCTCCCCCCTCTCCCCTCCCCCCTCCCCCCTCTCCCCTCTCCCCTCTCCCCTCTCCCCTCGCCCCTTCCCCCAGCAATGGAAGGACGTGGTGGAGCTGATGAGTCCTGTCCGCTTCACAGTGATGCTCTTTGACTTCATTGGCGCACACGGGTGGGTGCAGGGTGGGTGCAGGGTGGGAGAGGGTGGGTGGGAGAGGGTGGGTGCAGGGTGGGTGGGAGAGGGTGGGAGAGGGTGGGAGAGGGTGGGTGGGAGAGGGTGGTTGGGAGAGGGTGGGAGAGGGTGGGTGGGAGAGGGTGCGTGTGTGGGTAGGTGGGTGAGTGGGAGGAGGGTAGGTGGGTGGGTGAGTGGGTCCTAACCCCATGGGAGAGTGCATGGGTGAATGGTGCGAGGGTGGGTGGGTTGTGTGAGCTCATCGAACCCCATGGGTGCACGGTGCATGGTGGATCATGGGTGGTGTTGTGCGAATGATGTCATGTCATGTCATGTCATGCGGTGTGCCTGCAGCATGGGGGAGCTTGTGAGGCGCCTCTTTCATGACCCATTCGATCCGTTTGACTTGTTTAATCATAGGTACAGAGACGGGATCATGGAAGCTCCCGTTTATGGGAGCGGTACCGTTGCTCCCATCCTCCTCCACTCCACTCCGCGCCTCCAACGTTTCCTCCTGCCCCGTCCCCCCGTCCCCCTATCTCCCCCTGTCCCCCTATCCCCCCCAACCCCCTTTCAGGACCCAGCACGACCTGTGTGACCCTGAGTGGCTCACGTCGCCCCCCCCCACCTCCTTCCTCGTCCCACCCTGTGCCCCCATATTCTCCCCTCCCACCTCCCTCCTTCCCACCTCTCCCGGTTATTCCACCCCACCCACCGCTCCCACCCCACCCGCCGCTCCCACCCCATCCCCCCCTGTCCCTTCTCCCCTTCCCAGCGCCCAGTACGACCTGTTTGACCCCGTGTGGTATGCATCCCACCCACCCTCCTCAGCGCCCTCCCTTTCTCCTCCCTTCTCCGCCCCCCTCCCCCAACCCCCCCTCCCACCCACCCAGCACCCAGTACGACCTGTTTGACCTTGTGCGCTGCGCGCCCCTCCCTCCCGCCCACCTCCTTCCTCGTCTCCCCAGCCCTCATATTCCCCCCCTCTCTCCCCCCGCCCGCACTCTCCCCCTCCCCCCCCCTTCCCCCTCCTCCCCCTTCCCCCTCTCCCCCCCCCCTCCACAGCACCCAGTACGACCTGTTTGACCCCGTGCAATATGCGTCCCTCGCACCCACCTTCCCCTGTGGCCTGAGTTCACTCACGCTTATCGTCTCCCCTGTGGCCCCATATTCCCCCTCCCCCTCCTCCCCCCCCAACACCCAGTACGACCTGTTTGACCCCGTGCGCTACACGTCGCTCCCACCCACCTCCAATCTTCCCCGTCCCCTTTCCCCCTCTCCCATCCCTCCTCCCCAGCACCCAGTACGACCTGTTTGACCCCGTGCGCTACGCGTCCCTCAAGGGCTTTGCTGATGACGTGTCACTGCTGCTGGACGAGCTGGGGATCCAGGTGAGGGGGGGAAGGGAAGGGAGAAGGAACAAGAGAACACCATGTAGGTGCCATGGCTTCAATATGTGGCAGCAACTTGTGAGAAAACACCTGCCAGTAGTTTTCTGATGATGTTTGAGTCGACTCAAGAGCTGACCTTTGAGTCGACTCAAAAGTAAACGCCTGCCAGTAGTTTTGCTGCTGAAGTAAACTTCTGATGAAGTTTTGCTGCTGCTGGACGAGCTGGGGATCCAGGTGAGGAAGGACGGAGGGGGGAGCGGGAGAAGAGGGCGGTTGGAATGGGAGAAGAGGTCGGTTAAAATGGGAGAAGAGGTCGGTTAAAATGGGGCAGGTGATGGTGTGTCGCTGCTGCCTCCCTCCCTCACTCAATCAGTCCCTCTGTGCCCTCCCTTCGCCCAACAGGCGTGTCATCCTCATGGCAGGAGATCACATTTATCGGGCACCAGCATGCCAGCATCGTTTGTGTCGCTGCTGCTTGCACACTCACTCCCTCCCTCCCTCCCTCACTCACTCACTCCCTCACTCACTCACTCACTCACTCACTCACCCACTCACTCTCCCCCTCTCCCCCTCGTCCCCTCGTTCCTGCACGCATACCCACCAGGCGTCAACCTCATGGCAGGAGGTCACGTTCATCGGGCACCAGCAGGCGGGCATAGTGGGGCTGCTGCTCGCCCTGCAGAGGCCGGAACTCTTCCATCGTGTCATCACCCTCGCCTCCTCGCCCAGGTAGTCATCTCATCTCATCTCGTCTCGTCTCGTCTCGTCTCATCTCGTCTCGTCTCGTCTCGTCTTGTCTCGTCTCGTCTCATCGCACCCAGGGTGGAATATCTCTACGGAAAGGAGGTTGACGGCCCCTTCTGCCACGGATCAGCCGGGCAGAAAACTAAAACCCACTGGGATGGCATGCCATCTCAGGGAGGCATTAACCATGCGACAAGGTGTTTAGTGTTGATGGTTCCCATCGTTGCATTCTATTCCATACAGGGTTTAGTTATTTTCTGCCCCTGGCAGCGTTTCTCCTGGGCGGGGTTGTTTGTCCATTGAGATATATCAAAAGGTACGACACGACTCAACGGGTGGATGTGTCATGTGAGGGAGGTTAGCAATTGGAGGCCCACTGTTTCTGCTGCTGCTCCGGCTGCTTGCACTGCAGAGACCCGACCTCTTCCTCGCCCTTCCTTCCCGAGTCATTACCCTTGCAGCCTTCCTTCCTCGCCCAGGTACGGGCATATCTCCACCACATATCATATCATGCCTAATCAAATTATATCATAACATATCACATCACATCAGTGTGATTTCTCGAAATAATCAGTTATTTACACTCCAGGCTAGAACCCACAAATCACTCAATCACATACCCCACACGGCTCGTAACCCCACCCCCTCTTCTCCTCCCCAGGTTGTTTCCACTCCACTCTTCCCCCTCCCCTCCCCTCCCCTTCCCTCCCCTCCCCTCCCCTCCCCTCTCCTCCCCTCCCCTCCTCTCCCCTCCCCTCCCCTCTCCTCCTTCTCCTGCCCCCCTTCTCTCTCCCCTCCAATGTAGGGTGCAACAAACAAGCCCAATTCTAGTATCGTCTTAGGACATTACAATTCTCCCTTCACCTTTTACTTCTTTCCCCTCCTCTTCTTCCCTCCTTTCGAATCTCCCCTCCCACCCTCCCTCCCTCTGCCTCCTGCGTGTGTACATTCTTTTGCCGGCCGTTTATGGCAAACTCTCAAAAGCAAACCCCCCTCCTGCGTACATTCCTCTCAGACGTGTGAGCCATTTTTCAAACCACACCCCCTCTCCACCCCCTCCCCCCCCTCCCCGCCTCCCTCTCCCATCCCGAATCTTCCTTCCCGCCTTACCCCCTCCCCCTACCCGCGCAGATTACTCTCCGACGTAGGGTATGCGGGAGGGTTTGAGCTGCGGGATCTCGACCAGGTGTTTGGCGTCATGCAGTCCAACTACACGGTGGGTGAGATGGAATCAAGGGGGGGAAAGGGGGCCAGGAAGTGCTGAGGGGATGGGAGATGGGAGATGGGAGATGGGAGATGGGAGATGGGTGATGGGAGATGGGAGATGGGAGATGGGAGATGGGAGATGGGAGATGGGAGATGGGTGATGGGAGATGGGAGATGGGAGATGGGAGATGGGAGATGGGAGATGGGTGATGGGAGATGGGAGATGGGTGATGGGAGATGGGAGATGGGAGATGGGAGATGGGAGATGGGAGATGGGAGATGGGAGATGGGTGATGGGAGATGGGAGATGGGAGATGGGTGATGGGAGATGGGAGATGGGAGATGGGAGATGGGAGATGGGAGATGGGAGATGGGAGATGGGAGATGGGTGATGGGAGATGGGAGATGGGAGATGGGAGATGGGAGATGGGAGATGGGAGATGGGAGATGGGAGATGGGAGATGGGAGATGGGAGATGGGAGATGGGAGATGGGAGATGGGCGATGGGAGATGGGAGATGGGAGATGGGAGATGGGAGATGGGAGATGGGTGATGGGAGATGGGAGATGGGTGATGGGAGATGGGAGATGGGAGATGGGAGATGGGAGATGGGAGATGGGTGATGGGAGATGGGAGATGGGAGATGGGAGATGGGAGATGGGTGATGGGAGATGGGAGATGGGAGATGGGAGATGGGAGATGGGAGATGGGTGATGGGAGATGGGAGATGGGTGATGGGAGATGGGAGATGGGAGATGGGAGATGGGAGATGGAGATGGGTGATGGGAGATGGGAGATGGGAGATGGGTGATGGGAGATGGGAGATGGGAGATGGGAGATGGGAGATGGGAGATGGGAGATGGGAGATGGGAGATGGGAGATGGGTGATGGGAGATGGGAGATGGGAGATGGGAGATGGGAGATGGGAGATGGGAGATGGGAGATGGGAGATGGGAGATGGGAGATGGGAGATGGGAGATGGGAGATGGGAGATGGGATGGGAGATGGGAGATGGGAGATGGGAGATGGGAGATGGGAGATGGGAGATGGGAGATGGGAGATGGGAGATGGGAGATGGGAGATGGGTGATGGGAGATGGGAGATGGGAGATGGGAGATGGGAGATGGGAGATGGGAGATGGGAGATGGGAGATGGGTGATGGGAGATGGGAGATGGGAGATGGGAGATGGGAGATGGGAGATGGGAGATGGGTGATGGGAGATGGGAGATGGGAGATGGGAGATGGGAGATGGGAGATGGGAGATGGGAGATGGGAGATGGAGATGGGAGATGGGAGATGGAGATGGGAGATGGGAGATGGGAGATGGGTGATGGGAGATGGAGATGGGAGATGGGAGATGGGAGATGGGAGATGGGAGATGGGAGATGGGAGATGGGAGATGGGAGATGGGAGATGGGAGATGGGAGATGGGAGATGGGAGATGGGAGATGGGAGATGGGAGATGGAGATGGGAGATGGGAGATGGGAGATGGGTGATGGGAGATGGGAGATGGGAGATGGGAGATGGGAGATGGGAGATGGGAGATGGGAGATGGGAGATGGGTGATGGGAGATGGGAGATGGGAGATGGGAGATGGGAGATGGGAGATGGGAGATGGGAGATGGGAGATGGGTGATGGGTGATGGGAGATGGGAGATGGGAGATGGGAGATGGGTGATGGGAGATGGGAGATGGGAGATGGGAGATGGGAGATGGGAGATGGGAGATGGGAGATGGGAGATGGGAGATGGGAGATGGGAGATGGGTGATGGGAGATGGGAGATGGGAGATGGGTGATGGGAGATGGGAGATGGGAGATGGGAGATGGGAGATGGGAGATGGGAGATGGGAGATGGGTGATGGGAGATGGGAGATGGGAGATGGGAGATGGGAGATGGGAGATGGGAGATGGGAGATGGGAGATGGGAGATGGGAGATGGGAGATGGGAGATGGGAGATGGGAGATGGGAGATGGGAGATGGGAGATGGGAGATGGGAGATGGGAGATGGGAGATGGGAGATGGGAGATGGGAGATGGGAGATGGGAGATGGGAGATGGGAGATGGGAGATGGGAGATGGGAGATGGGAGATGGGAGATGGGTGATGGGAGATGGGAGATGGGAGATGGGAGATGGGAGATGGGAGATGGGAGATGGGAGATGGGAGATGGGTGATGGGAGATGGGAGATGGGAGATGGGAGATGGGAGATGGGAGATGGGAGATGGGAGATGGGAGATGGGTGATGGGTGATGGGAGATGGGAGATGGGAGATGGGAGATGGGTGATGGGAGATGGGAGATGGGAGATGGGAGATGGGAGATGGGAGATGGGAGATGGGAGATGGGAGATGGGAGATGGGAGATGGGTGATGGGAGATGGGAGATGGGAGATGGGTGATGGGAGATGGGAGATGGGAGATGGGAGATGGGAGATGGGAGATGGGAGATGGGAGATGGGTGATGGGAGATGGGAGATGGGAGATGGGAGATGGGAGATGGGAGATGGGAGATGGAGATGGGTGATGGGAGATGGGAGATGGGAGATGGGAGATGGGAGATGGGAGGCAGAAGGAGGGTGGTGCGGGGCCACGTGTGTTTTGAGTCGACTCAAAACACACGTGGGGCCAGGACGTGTCGGGTTGTTTGAGCTGCAGGATCTGAACCAGGTGTTTGGTGGAGTCATGCAGCTTTTGAGAATTCTCAAAAGGTGTTTGGTGCACATCCCCAATCCACCACATCCCCAATCCACCACATCCCCAATCCCACCTCGCCCCATCTCTCAGATGTGGGCAGTGGGGTGCATTCCAGTGCTGACACCAGACGACATTCGACTGCTTGACATTAGACTCCCCCACGTGCGCAACCTCACTCGCACTTCTAGCACCCTTCCCTCCACACCCCACCACACCCCACCACACCCCCTTCCCCCTTCCATACAGATGTGGGCAGCGGGGTGTATGCCAGTGCTGACACCAGACGACATTAGGCTCCCCCACGTGCGACTTCAATCACGCTCCTTAGTAACCTTCCCTCCACACCACACCTCCTCCCTACCCTCTGCAGATGTGGGCAGCGGGGTGTATGCCAGTGCTGACACCAGACGACATCCGGCTCCCCCACGTGCGCGACTTCACCCGCCCGCTCTTCTCCCTCCGCCCCGACGTCGCTTTCGCTCTGCTCAAAACCACCTTCGCCTGTGACGTGCGCGCAGTGCTGCCAGAGGTGAGAGAAAATGGTGCTGAGAGGGGTGGAAAGGGGTGCAGAGGAGTGTGCGTGGTTCAGAAGTCCACCTAATTTGCGCCAATTTCAAACCCTGAAATTGGACGATTGTGGGTAGCTACCCTTATTCTTTCTGGGTCGACGGGTTGAACAAAGCGATATCTATGTTAAACTGGGTAATGTTTGGGACCCTTTCGAGTGCGAGGACGCAACGGAGGTCGCTACTGGAAAAATGGCCCGCGCGAGTGAGTGGTGAGCATGACCCACTGAGGGATGTTTGGTTTTAGACTACCGATGAGGAGAGCATGTTCATATCCTTTTGATTCTGGGTGGCTGAAAGATACAGCCGAATATGTGTGTGGGAACCCCCTTTGCGGATTGTCATGAGTGGAGGAAGAGGATCGCGCATGTGCGGGATGCGGATGTATGAATGCAGTATCTCCTGCGAAGAGATCGCAGCAGGGTTGAGAGGGATGCGGATGTGTATGTGCAGAAATCGTTTGTTAAAGCCCAAGACCCGAATTACCAAAAACGAAGGCAAACTGTGCACAGTTTGCCTCCCGCAGCCCACAGTTTTGCCCCGCGTTGACTTGCGTTGAGCAATTCAGGTCTTGGGCTTTAAGGACACTCATAGCATAGATTCATGTGTGCAGGGTAGCAGAGGTGTTCCTTGTTATTCACCCAGCTGTCAACATCCCCTGCTGCTCGCACGCATCTTACCCACACCCCCCCAGGTACTAGAGCAGACACACATGCTGCTGATTGCGCTCGACCCCGCGGTACCGCACTCCACCACACAGCACATGCTCGCAGCCATCCCCAACTCGTACGCGGAGATCCTCGCTGTCACCTCGCTGCACGTGCGTCCAGATGTCGTCGCGACGAGCATCCTGCGCCACATCAGCATGCCGCTACGGGACGCGCAGAGCCAATCATGTCGCCAGACTGTCAGCACGCGATTCGCCATCCCTTCGTCTGTGCTGCCGCCGACAAGAGTGGTGGAGGAGGGGTGGGAGTGATGCATGCTCGGTTGGGAGCGAGGGAGTGGGAGTGAGGAGCAGGCCTCTCGTGGCGAGTGTTGCTGATAGTGCGGCAGTAATGAGTTTTAGTGTTGCTGCATATCACATGCCAATGCATAGCTATGGGGTTACCCACTTATGTATGCAGTCGTTCCTTAACATTATATTTAGCGTTTTGATCATCATGCCAAATTGTATCTGAACAGGTAATCACATAATTCAAATACAATGTACAGTGCCGGAGCTGTACAACATGGCATTGGCAGGTAAAGTGCTGCCATGAAATTATGGGGGGAAATCGTGCTAGTACGGGAAATGACAAGGATACAAGTGAGAAGGCTATAGCGTGGCCCACAAACTTCAGTGTGAAAAAACAACAGAATTTTTTACATCGAGTTATGTCACAATGACGGTCAGCGGGAAGGCTGATAGAGCGTACGCGCTCAGACCTCATCTCTTGCCATGTATTGAATCACCGCCGCACCTCACGGCGCCACTTCTGGACCTCGTTTGGTGGAATTATTGCGATGAAATTTGGGCATCGGCGCCCTTCTCGATCCCTCGTGCCTGGCATTATTGGCTGATCAGCATATAATGGATGGTTACCAGCTGGTTCCTTGGCGATCACTCGCAGCGCAGAGACGAACAGTCGTGAATTTCTCTAAGAATTCGCTATTGTGAAAAGGCGAAACTGTATTGTCGTCAAGAAAAGCGAAACGGTGTCACAGAAACCAGATTCGCGCACTCCAGATTTTCGCGTCTTTCACGGGGCCCCCCAATGATGGTCGTAAGTAGCGCGCTTCGACATCTCCTCTTGTTTGCGGTAGATTCCGCGTCGCGCCAGCAGCATCGACAGCACATTCCACCCGTTGCCTTCACACATTATCTCCCTGCTGAGCTCTCGGCAGTATATAGTCCCGCGCAATTTCGTACTTCTACATCAGTTGTAGATTTACAATCCAAACATACTCGATTGACACCAGTCTCAATTAAGTACTTGAAAACCATAGCTTCGCTTCGCGTTTTACTGCTGATGCTCTGTGTGCTCGTCGCGGCGCACGTGCACGCAGCGACGGCGGAATTCAACCCCGCGCTCGCCACTCTCGCCGCAAATCCCGAGCGCGACGGGCTTCTCGCCACGGGCAAGGCGCTCACGGGAGACGTGCGCGAGGACGCGGATGTGATTATAACGAACCGCGTTCTCACTGCGGAGGGCGGGGAGTCTCCGCATGCGCGCGCTGTTCGCGTTTTGGCGGAGGAGGACTTTCTCTCCCCCGGGGAAGCGGAAGGCGCTGCGTTGGCGGTAGAGGAGTATAGGCGGAGCCTGAAAAAGAACAAGAAGGGAAAGAAGGGGAAGAAGGGAAAGAAGGGGAAGAAGGGAAAGAAGGGAAAGAAGGGAAAGAAGGGGAAGAAGGGGAAGAAGGGGAAGAAAGGGAAGGGTAAGAAGGGCAAGAAAGGGAAGGGCAAGAAGGGGAAGAAGGGGAAGAAGAGCAAGAAGGCAAAGAAGGCCCTGAAGGCGAAGGCAAAGAAGCTGCGGAAGCAGGCTAAGGCACTGATCGCCAAGGCTAAGGCACTGGAGAAGAAGGCCAAGTAGTCGTGCTCACTGGACACGAAGGGGAATCAGCACTCTTGTGGGGTGGGGATAAAGGGAGAAGTTGTCGAAGCTGGGAAGGGGATAAGAATAAAGATTAGTGTTTAGGGTTGGGGAGAAGGGGTGCAAGTGGGTTAGGTTCATATGGGTGGGGTGGGTGGGGCGGCATGCCTTTGTTTTGTGCCAATAATTGATCTCTGTGGGGTGTTCGCCAAACGGGGTTTCTGGTCTTGTGGAAGTTTTGTTCATTAATAATGTACGGTATTAATCAGTCTTTCACCTACGGTATATTACACCAGGGAACTGCATTTTTCCATTCGTTTTTGCCCCAAGAAGTCTGACCTAGGTAGTACACAAGTCTGAAGATCAGACAAATCAGGACTGAGCTCCTGGTTCCAGCAGCTATGCATCAAGTCTGTGAAAACCCTAGCTTAGCTGATGACAAAATGAGGAACAGCAGCTGCAGGAAAAGCCCCCAAATCAGCATAAAATACTTGAAATTTACTTCGACGGGTCTCTCAGTAACCATCTCTTGGGAACAACATTGTGTTGTGTCTGACTAAGGCTGATGAAACAGGGTTGAGAGCACCATATACATAAGAAGAGCTTTCACCATCCGTGGCAGAACGTTCTCGTGTAAGCAACTACACTACAGTATTTCTGCTCCGTAAGGTTGCTGCCTGGTCACTTGGCCTAGCTCTGGCAAACAGGCTGATGCAATAGACTTATATTGGGACTTGGGAGCAGTATGGAAGCAACCAGCGGAGCAAGGACGACATCGCAAAGGCATGCGAACTGAGCAAGAGCTTCAAATGAGCAAGAGAAGGCCGGCAGGCGAACCGGGTGTGGTTCATCAGGTTGTTATCTTGCCCCCCGGCGTCCCTGGCTTGACGGGGCGATGGGGCCTTGGTGCTGGTGCGCACGGGGTGAGGGGCGAGGGGAGAGGGGCGAGGGGCGAGGGGCGAGGGGCGAGGGGCGAGGGGAGAGGGGAGAGGGGAGAGGGGTGAGGGGAGAGGGGAGTGGGAGGTGGGAAGGGGCCGATGAAGAGGAACGGCGCGTGCAAGTGGGACAGCATTGTGTCTGCAAGGGAGGAAACTGGTTGGTGGGAGAGAAACGGAGGGAAGGGTGGGCTTGGTGGCGATCAGTGGGTGGGGAAGCAGCAGCGCGTGGGGAAGCAGCAGCGCGTGGGGAGGAGCGCGGCCAGAGTGGTGGAAGCCTGAGAGGGGTGAGTGACGAGACTGACCATTGGGATTGCCCTGCTCGTAGAAGCGGCGAAAGAGGTCCACTGCCTCACTGGCTAGAATGCCCCCCTCGCACTGCAGCCCTGCGCCCTGTGCTCCTGCGCTGCTGGTCGGGGGGGGAGGGGGGGAGGGAGAGGGGGGGGGGTTGGTTCAAAACACAAGAGGTCCACTCCACTGCCTCACTGGCTAGTATGCCCCCCTTGCACTGCAGCGGCCTGCCTGGCTTGACCGTGCTGCTGCTGGCGGTGCGTGCAGGGAGGGGAAGAGGGGAGCAGGGTGAGCTGACTGTTGAGGTTGCCCTGCTTGTAGAAGCGCCGGAACTCGTAGGCAGAGGTCCAGTGCCTTGCTGGCTAGTATCCCCTCCTCGCACTGCAACTCAATGCGCTCTGTGCCAGGGTTGCTGGTGGGTAGGGGGACAGGAAGATGGGAGATGAGCGGAGGGGAGGTGGGGAGGAAGGAAGGGAGGAGGAGAGGGGGGGGTGGTAGGAGGGGGGGATGGTAGGAAGGGGGCGGGTGAGGATGGGAGAAAGGGGAGGAAACAGAAGTACTGATAGTAGACGGAAGGTGGCACTGGGAAGGTGCAGAGGCAGCATAGCGCAGGAGTGGTGGCAGTGGGTGGCGGCGTGAACTATTAGGCGCCCTCAGAGATCATGGCATGGGAGTGCTGACAGTGTGGGGGGGGGGGGGGGGTGGTGCGAGTGGGGGTGCAATGAGACAGCAGAGCATTGGTAACAGTGAGAGGGGCAGCGTGATGGTGGGTAGAGTGAGGAAGGGGAAGAGAAAGAGAAACACAGGAGAAGATCAAAGTGGAGAATCACATCACATCACATGCAGTCTGCCAGTCTGTCAGTCAGTCAGTGAAGCTCTTCGCATGAATTGGTTTAGGGTGGAGGAAGAAGAACGTGAAAGGGAGGGGGAAGCGGGTTAGAGAAGGCAGGAGCAGGCATGTAGGGTACTGCAAAAGGTGGGCGGAGCAGGAGCTGTTATAGTGTAGCATACAAGGGCGGGCAGGGGCGGCATCCTTTGGCGTGTACGGAGAGCACGGATCCACAACCGCCGAAGCGGTCGTTGGGACAGCCGTAGAACACACGGGTGAGACCTGGGGGTGGTGGGGGGGACGAGGGGAAGTGAGGGAGAGTGCAAAGGGGGGAGGGAACACGCAGGAGGGGAGGAGGGGGGAGAGAGGGAGGGAGGAGGGGAAGAAACACGCAGTGAGGAAGGGAGTTGGGATCAGGGGAATCACTGTAGCATCCAAAGAATGTAAGATCAGGGGGGGAGGCATGCTGGCATGCAGAGATTCACTGACGATGCATGTGAAGGGGGGGAACGCAGAGGGGTGTTGGGAGGTGCGGTGGGGTGAGCGGGAACAAGGTGGGGGAGTAAGGGCGGTTGAGAGAGGTGGAGAGGACAGGCGGAGGCCTGGGGGAAAAGGGTGGAATGGGGAGGATGGGGGACGAAGGGGGACGGATGAGAGCGGGGAAGAGGGGGGGGGTGAGGGGAAAAGGGAGGAACGGGAGGAAAAGGAGGAGGCGGAATGGGATGAGGTGGAGGGGGAGGATGCGGGCGGGAAGAGAGGCTGTGAGACAGCGGGGGGAGTGGGAAGGGGAAGAAAAATGAAGAGAAAGGAAGAAAAAGGAAGAGAAAGGAAGAAAAAGGAAGAGAAAGGAAGAAAAAGGAAGAAAAAGGAAGAGAAAGGAAGAAAAAGGAAGAGAAAGGAAGAAAAAGGAAGAGAAAGGAAGAAAAAGGAAGAGAAAGGAAGAAAAAGGAAGAGAAAGGAAGAAAAAGGAAGAGAAAGAAAGAAAAAGGAAGAGAAAGAAAGAAAAAGGAAGGACTGAATCTTGTGGAGGAAGACGGGGATGTGATGTGATGCAAGCAATGGGGTGATTGTTGACTCTAAGGCGCCAGCTATTTGACATGCTGCCTGACTGTCTCACCATCGCACCCAGCCCACCACTCTCACCACTCTCACCCATCTCACCCATCGCACCCCTCCCACCCCTCCCCATCCTCCCACCCCACCTGCCCATCCCCCACTCTCTCACCCATCCCACCGCTCCCACCCCTCCCACCCCTCTCACTCGTTGTACCAAGCAGAGAGAGAGCAGCAGCGCACATGATACACGGTTCACATGTCACAAACAGCTCACTCTCCCCCGCCACCTGCAGCAACCGCCCATACCGCTCCCCCTCCTCCTCCTCCCTCCCCTCCTCATCGTCTCCCTCTCGCCCCCCTACCTCCTCTGCCTCGTTCATTCTCTCTAAGTCTTCTCCATCCTGCCCATCCTCCCTCGCAGATGCATTTAATTCTTGCTTCAGCCTCTCCCTTTCTCTCTCCCCAGCTGATCCGTGGCTGCCAAGTGTCTCTGTGCCATTCGCTGCGCCGTTCGTTGATGCTGCCCTAGGTGGATCAATCACCCCGAGACATTCGTTAACCTGCCCAGGAGAAAGAGATTCCAGCAGCGAATCAATGGCCTCCATCTCAGCATGGCGGGTAGCCTGACAAAAAAAAAAAACACAAACAAACAAACAAAAAACCAAAAATTGGGGCGCAGGAGGGAGGGAGAGGGGGAGGGGGAGGAAGGGGGAAGGGGTGGGGGGAGGGGGAGGGAGGGGGAAGGGGTGGGGGGAGGGGGGGGGGAGGGGGGGGAGAGAGAGAAGAACAAAGACTCGGTCTTTAAGACCGTGTAACGATCTGCGCCGTCCAAAGGCCTGGCCCTTGCTGCAGATTGCATATGGGCAATCATACTTGGCAACATATGTGAATATATAACGAGCGAAGGGACTGAGCTGAGTTGTGAAGAGGTAGTAACGTACAGGGAAAAAGAGAGGAGAGAGAAGAGGAGAAAGGAGAGGAAAAGAGTGGAGAGAGGAGGGGAAAAGAGAGGAGAGGAGAGGAGGAGAGGAGAGGTGAGGAGAGAAGAGGAGCGGAGAGGAAAAGACTCACGTTTCTGGTTTCGTTGGTTCTATTGCTGCCTGCTGCAACGACTTTGTTGTTATGCACTATCACACAGCTGCGAGGACAACGGGAAGAGGAAAGACACAAGAGAACAGTTTTTGAGGCGCCTCAAAAGACAACTTTGTTGCTGTCCAGTATCACACAGATGCACGGGCACAGGAGAAGGAAAGACACAAGAGAACAAAGTCAAGGAAGAGTTATCAGGGGGTAAGGCACTTGAACATATCGTCATAAGTTAAGTGGGGAAAGTGGGGGGGAGGGAGGGAGAAAGTGGAGGGGGGGGATGGAGGGAGAAAGTGGGGGGAGGGGAGGGAGGTTGAGGGGTACAGGGGGGAAGGGGGAAGAACAAGCAGGATGGGAAGCTAGAGACGGGTATAGGAGATAGGAGGAAGTTAAAGGGGGTAGGGTAGCGGGAGGAGAGAGAGGGGAGATATGGGATGGGGGAGGGGTGGAGGATTGGTGAAGGGAGGAAGGGAGAAGGAGGCAAGGATGCTCACCCCACGGGGACTTCTAGCCTCGCCCATGCAGCCTCCGCCTTTCCTTGCAGGCACACACAGGCAGGAAGGCACAAATACACAAGGTCAAGAGGTCATGGGGGCATGCAGGCATGAGGGTATGAGGAGACAAGGATACGAGGGTATGAGGATATGCGATCACGATCACACGGGCGGAAGGGAGGAGTGCGGAAATGCAGCAGTATGTAGCACTTTGGATCACAGGAAGAACAGGGAAGAGCGGTACGGAGAGAGGAGAATTACGGAGGGGAGCGGAGGGGAGCACGGGGGGAGGGGCGACGGAGGAAGGGGGAGGGAACGCGGGGGTGAGGCGGGGAAGGGGGGATATGGAACAGCCAGGAGGAGAGCAGCGCGGAGAGGGGGGCAGGTGCAATAGCGGAGAGGAGCGGAGCGCGGCGAGTGCCACGTCATGCACCTGCGCGATGGCGAGGCGCATGAAGTGGACCCTCCTCTCGGCCTCCGAGGTGAACGGCGCGAATGCCGCCGCGTCCCCCGCCATGGCGCAAGAGGAAGGCCGCCTGTGATTGGATCGAGTGGCAAAGCGAGAGTGATATCCGAGGGAATGGGGGGGTGAACAAGTGCTAACGACTTTTGTTCATACACGTTTGTGGCTTCAAAATCTAGGTTATTTTTTATGAGTTATAAAAGGGAGAGCGAACAACACAGCTGTGACTGAATGAATCGACACAGAAGTGAAGCCTAGGAAGTAATAAGATGGGGGCGAGGTTCGGTACAGATTAGTCAGCTAGGTCCAAAGGCAACGCGCGGTATTTTCGAAGTCGGGCAAGTACTTCCAAGAGTTAGGATTGGCCTCGAGTCGCGCGAGTGCAGTATTTGTTTGTTCAAAATTTTCACCTCTGAGCAACCTCGAGCAACCTCGAGTTAGGGTTGGCCTCGAGCAACCTCAAGAAGTGCGACAACTCAACTTCGACAAAAAAGTCTGAAATGACTTTCTTTCCGCGAAACGGAGCTTCGCATATTTTGAATTTTGAGATTATCTGTTACCCTATTACAGCCTGATTCCCAAACACCCCCTCACCAGTCGCAGTTGACTGGTGTTTCGCTTGGTCTGTACCCTACGCTACATTCTTGAGAACTAACAAAAATGTTACAATAACTATGCACCCTGCACCAACGCCTCGCCCGCCCTCTCACTCTCGCCCCTCTCGCCGCAAGGGAGACACTCACACCTACGCCTGTCTCTCATGTTGGTTCTTGAACAGCGCTAGCCGCGCCAGCTTGCGTTCAATCGCGGCGACCCTCACCTCTCATTACTGTCTCGCCACCAAACGCGGCCTCATCTCGCATCCGTTCAGGCTCGCCTCTCTTCCCCTCGCCTAGCCTCCGCTCGCGGTTTCACGAGCTCTCGCACTCTCACATTCGTCGCGCCCGCTCGCACACACTCCCTCTCACGAGGCGCCGGTTCCGCTAATACACACTCACACACACCCGACAACCGCCCGCCAGCTTTATCAAGAGGCCCGACTGGCCTCCAATACTCGTCTCGCCTCCCCTCCTCCCCGCACACCCTTCCTTTTCGCCCATGGCTTTCATTTCCACCTCAATCCTCTCGCCATCCCTTTTCTTTCCGTCCCCGCCCCACACTTCCATTTTCTTCGCTTGCATTGCAAAGTCCCTGGTTGCGACCCCAAATCTGGTTATGATAGCCTTGTATCACCGATCCTTAAAAACAAAGTAATCTCAGCAACAAACCCAAGAAACCAACCCGCAACCTATACACTCCCAAAACCCCACCAGTAGATCTCTGAAGACAAAACGAAACCCGGCAAAATCCAAACCCGTAACATCAACCCTCGCATGTCCATATCGTCACTGGAATCAGCGCCAGCACTGGCATCGGGCGAGGTCCCACAAGCAGCTGCTCCTACCCTGCTTTCATTCCTCCCCCTCCCCCTTCTCACGCTTCTCGTTCAGCTGACGCTTCTAGTGCTTCTTTCCCTCCTCGCGCTTCGCGCCCTCCTCACGCTTCCCGCCCTTCTCGTTCAGCTCACGCGGCTTCTCGTGCTTCTCGCGCTTCTCGCACTTCTTCAGGCTCCTCCGGGTGTCCGCAGCATCAGCATCAGCATCTCCCTCCGCCAGCGGGGGGAGCTGGTCGACCTCCGCCATGCTGCGACCAGGCGCGCCATCAGAGCCAACTGAATCAGCACCAGCGTCGGCAGGGGTCTCAGCACCAGGTGCCGCCCCACCAGGTGCTGCTGCCTTGCTTGCATTCTTTTTCCCCTTCTTCCCCTTCTTGCATTTCTTGCCCTTTTTCCCCTTCTTGCACTTCTTCCCCTTCTTCAGGCTCCTCCGCGTGTCCGCAGCATCAGCATCAGCATCTCCCTCCGCCAGCGGGGGAAGCTGGTCGACCTCCGCCATGCTGCGATCAGGCGCGCCATCAGAGCCAACTGAATCAGCGCCAGCGTCGGCAGGGGTCTCAGCACCAGGTCCCGCCCCACCAGGTGCTGCTGCCTTGCTTGCATTCTTTTTCCCCTTCTTCCCCTTCTTGCATTTCTTGCCCTTTTTCCCCTTCTTGCACTTCTTCCCCTTCTTCAGGCTCCTCCGCGTGTCCGCCACGTCAGCATCAGCATCGCCCTCCGCCAGCGGGGAGGGCAGGTCGACCTCGGCCATGCTGCGAGCAGCCGCGCCATCAGGGCCCGCCTCCTCGCCCCCACTCGGTGCACCTGAATCTCCGCCAGCGTCGGCAGGGGTCTCAGCACCAGGTGCCGCCCCCGCCCCACCAGGTGCTGCTACCGCGCCGCCATTCTTTTTCCCCTTCTTCCCCTTCTTCCCCTTCCTGCATTTCTTCCCCTTCTTCCCCTTCTTGCATTTCTTCCCCTTCTTCTTCAGGCTCCTGCGAATGTCTGCCACGTCAGCATCAGCATCTCCCTCCTCAATCTGGGAGGGCAGGTCGACCTCCGCCATGCTGCGCGCAGCCGCACCTGAATCCCCGCCAGCGTCGGCACCACCAGGTGCCGCTCCCTCAGGTGCCGCCCCCTCAGGTGCCGCCCCACCAAGTGCCGCCCCCGCCCCACCGGGTGCTGCTACCGCGCCACCATTCTTTTTCCCCTTCTTCCCCTTCCTGCATTTCTTCCCCTTCTTCCCCTTCTTGCATTTCTTCCCCCTCTTCTTCAGGCTCCTCCGCGTGTCCGCCACGTCAGCATAAGCGTCCTCCTCCGCCAGCAGGGAGAGCAGGTCGACATCCGTCAGCACGCGAACAGCGCCATTGTGGCGCGACTCTTCGCCCTCCTCCGCAAGAGCGCGGTTCGTTATAAGCACATCCGCGTCCTCGCTTGCGTCATCTGCGAGCGCTTTGCCCGTGGCGAGGAGGCTATCGTCGGGGCTTGCGGCGAGAGTGGCGAGAGCGGGGTTGAACTCCGCCGCGGCCGCCAGGTGCGCAACCGCGAGCGCACAGAGCAGCAGCAGGAAAGCGCGAAACATGGTCATGGCTTAGTGGACTCAACTTCGACTTGATCGCGATGTGAACTCTTCTAACCGAAACTGTTTCTACAAATGATGGAGGAGAGTGGAGATGCGAACGAATATATAGTGTCGGGCTGTGTTTCGAGGCGGCTCGGGATTCGCCGTGAATCAAAGGTGAAACTAATCTGAGAGAAGACCCATCTGCGTGTGAGGCGGTCGGCCTAGGGTCGCCCATAATTTCACTCGTTTCAAAAGAAGTTGGCGTGATTCACGGGCCTCGTCTGCGTGACTCCAGCAGGTGGTGCCTTGACCTGCGGGCGATGGCAACACTTGCGGAAGAATCGCTCCAGAAAAGAATTGCTGTGAGGTTGGTTCCTGAGGGAACTGGAATTCTCAAGGGACCCCTCGAAAGTACCAATTATGGGGTGACCCTCGAGATTGCTGGAGTGACCCCCCGAACCAATGATGCAGCGAACTAACTGCAACAACACACCGCCAAGTACGGCTGCGAAGATAATTCTGCTCATATATCTACAGATAATTCTGGCCATTAACTAATATACTCATATGAAAGAAAGGGAATATAGAATGCAATGGATATAGAAAAGGGGGAAAAAGATTGACAAAGGGGAATGCTTGAGCGAACATTCATTATAGAATATTTATTACCGCTGCATTGGATCAGAAATTCCCGCTTTTCCCTTATTCTTCATAGTTGCCTTATCCACAAGGAAAACACACGTCATGGCTCCAATACTTTTCTTGCCCACCAGAAATTCAAATGAAAACTGTGAGAATGATACTTCATCACAATCACATTGCTCTTTCCGTTTCACATGTATCACCCTTTTGTACTTCAGTACCATAATGTGAGTTAGCGCTAGGGCAATTTTACACTGTAGATATACATGCTAATCTCAGACCCCCCCATATCCGCAATTGGCGGACTGTTCTTTGAGCTGGTCTGCTGTATAATTGCGGGGGGTCACCCCAGCAATCTCGAGGGCCGCATGCTGATTGGATGGGCACTTCCGAGGTCCCCTCGGGAATTCAAGTGCCATATGCTGTGCACTTCTCTTCTGGAGCAAAAGCAATTCTTCTGCAGTTTCCATCGCCCGCAAGTCAAGGAGCGCCACCTTTTTGAGTCAGGCAGGCTAGGCCCCGTGAATCTAGCCAGCTCATATGAATCGAGTGACATTATGGACGACCCTAGCACCGCCTCACACGCAGACGAGTCCTTGCGTCAGTTAGCTGCGCGCTTCGTCACTTCCTTCAGTTCACGGCAAATCCCGAGCCGCCTCGAAACACATCTCGACACTACATATTCGTTTCGCCTTTCCACTCTTCTCCATCACTTGAACCGGTCTCATCCGATAAGTTCATATCGCAATATTACTACTAGCTATCCAGCTTGAGACCAAAAGTTAGCAATGAAGGTGCTTCGCGCTTTCCTGCTGCTGCTCTGTGCGCTCGCGGTTGCGCACCTGGCGGCCGCGGCGGAGTTCAACCCCGCTCTCGCCACTCTCGCCGCAAGCCCCGACGACAGCCTCCTCGCCACGGGCAAAGCGCTCGCAGATGACGCAAGCGAGGACGCGGATGTGCTTATAACGAACCGCGCTCTTGCGGAGGAGGGCGAAGAGTCGCGCCACAATGGCGCTGTTCGCGTGCTGACGGAGGTCGACCTGCTCTCCCTGCTGGCGGAGGGGGACGCTTATGCTGACGTGGCGGACTCGCGGAGGAGCCTGAAGAAGAGGGGGAAGAAATGCAAGAAGGGGAAGAAGGGGAAGAAATGCAGGAAGGGGAAGAAGGGGAAAAAGAATGGCGGCGCGGTAGCAGCACCCGGTGGGGCGGGGGCGGCACCTGGTGGGGCGGCACCTGAGGGGGCGGCACCTGAGGGAGCGGCACCTGGTGGTGCCGACGCTGGCGGGGGTTCAGGTGCGGCTGCGCGCAGCATGGCGGAGGTCGACATGCCCTCCCAGATTGAGGAGGGAGATGCTGATGCTGACGTGGCAGACATTCGCAGGAGCCTGAAGAAGAAGGGGAAGAAATGCAAGAAGGGGAAGAAGGGGAAGAAATGCAGGAAGGGGAAGAAGGGGAAGAAGGGGAAGAAACCCAAGAAGGGCATGGATGGGCCTCCTGCCGCTGCTGGCGCTGATTCAGCCGCACCGAGTGGGGGCGAGGAGGCGGGGTCTGATGGCGCGGCTGCTCGCAGCATGGCCGAGGTCGACCTGCCCTCCCCGCTGGCGGAAGGCGATGAGGATGCTGATGGTGATGCTGACGTGGCGGATGTGCGTAGGAGCCTGAAGGAGGGAAAGAAGGGAAAGAAAGGGAAGAGGGGGAAGAAGGGCAATAAGCACGGGAAGCATGGGAAGCACGGGAAGCACGGGAAGCATGGGAAGCATGGGAAGCATGAGGAGGGAGAGAAGCACGAGAAGGGCGAGAAAGCAGAATGAAATCGGGGCAGCAGCAGCTTGTGGGGCCCCGTCCGGTACCAGCGCTGGAGCTGGTGCATGTGAGGGCTTTGGTTTTGCAGGGTTTAGTCAGTCTTTAACTGGTGGGGTTTGGGATGGGGGGTCTAGTGGGTGCGTAGACTGCAGGCTGGTTTGTTTGAATGTGGTCATGTTTTTAAGCATTGGACTTCTTGAGATGGCTGGACTATGTCTTGAAACCTTATCCTCCTTGGATGGGGTGGTTTGTGCCATGATCAGGGTGAGGCCTACAATCTAACCTAGGTGAAAGTACCCTACGGTAACATGAGATTTCATAACGGAAAGATCTGTGAACGAGTTTGGGGCGTCATTCTGATGGCGGGTTATCTCTCCTTAGAAGCATATCAACCCCCTTGACCAGTTGCCTTATTTCCCTTGATAGTCCCTTGATGAGTATTAGTTACTCTGCGCACTCTTCGTGGCTGTATCGAGACTGCTGCTGCCGAGGGAATTTTTATTTCCCACAACGACAATCGATTACGTTCCGTTGTGAGTTTCGTCTCTCCATGTGCGTGCGATTCGGCCCCCGCGCCACGATTTTAGTTGGTGAGCAGATTCTGAATTTCCGCCACTCCATCAGTTGAATCTGGATTCCAGCATATCTCTGTTTCAACGGTTTCAACGGTTGGGGTGGTTTCAACGGTTTCAACGGTTTCAACGGTTTCAACGGTTTCAACCGTTTCAACGGTTGGGGTGAAGATATGCACACTCCCTGAGTGACCTCGTCACAGCTCTGTACAAACAGGTATTTCTGATACGAGCGCGGACATCGCTTTCCGTCCAGCGTGCATAGACAAAAGATATGCCAAGACAAGAGTCTTATAGGTCAAGCGCGTCCTTAGACAGGCTATCAAGAGCCAGGTAACGCATACGAACGTGATGGCGTTGCAGGATGTGGTTCCTGAAAATGCGATGGGCGAGCAGGGAAGGGCGAGCAAGAGACAACGAATCGAGAACGCTCAAATTCGACACGATGCCGATACGCAAGCCGCCATCGAAGGCAATTACCTCTCGATAAATCTGACATATCGACGACATTCCGACGCAGAAGGGGATTTGGTGGACAAATTACCGCCGGCTCTCTGGCACCGCATTTTCCACCATCTGCTGCAGCGGCCCTGCGAGGCCGACTCTCCCCACGTCGCCGACAGCCCTAGATTCTGCCGCGAGGGGAACGCGAGCGCTAGCAATGGCGACAGTAACGCCGCGGGGACCGCCATCGCCGGTGGAAGGTACGCGTTGCGCCGCTGGTTTGCGCCGAGGGAGAAGGACCGCACGCGCGCGGAGCGGGAGGACGCGCGGGTGGTGTTCCGAAAGGAAGGAGCGTCGGCTTGCTGGCTGCACGCGCGGAACGCGGCGTGGTATGGCGCGTCGTGGCCTCTGCTGTGCTGCGCGCTCGCCAGCAAGAGGCTCCTTCACCACGTCGCGTCCTTCGCGGTACGCATGCGTGTGTGTTGTTGTCGTATAGATTTTAGTTGGAAGGGGCCTGGCCTCCCTGTGCTGGAAGCATCAAGCTTCTAGCATGCTGCTCTGCTACCTCGCTTCCTTCTCTCCCTTCCCTCCCAGTTCCCCCACCTCCCCGCAACCACATCTCTCACTCATTCCCTCCCTTCCCTTCCGCCACTACCCGTTATCAGGCCGGCAGCAGCACCCCGATCGCGCTCCAGCTAATCCACACCAAGCCCGCATGGACCGCCAGCGTACTCTGGTTCCTCTCGCACACGCCCCCTCTCCCCTCCCTCCACCTCTCCTTCACCCATCCCTCCGTCATCCCCCTCCTCCGCCGCCCCTTCTCCCTCCCCGCCTGCTCGCTCTTACTCTCCTCGCTCACCTCTCTCGAACTCTCCCTTCTAGGCAAGACCCACGACTATAAAGTCAACAACTGGCGCCTCGGCTTATTCGCGCCCTGCACGAGCCTCCACTCCCTCACTCTCGGGCGCGGCGCGTGGCGATTCGACAAGTCCTCCTGCGTCGCGGCTCCCTGGTCCCGCTCAATAACGAGCCTCACCCTCCGAGCCAACGACGCCAGGGGCCCGAACCCTAAAGCCCTGGCGGAATTCACGCCGCAACTACACGAGTTTACCTTTTACGAGCCGGAGAGTCTCGCATACGGGGTGGTATCCGGCCCTGTTTACCTTAAACTGGATTTCCCCCGCATCCGCCGCCTCACCTTCCGCTTCGTGCATGACGAGCTCAAGCTCCGGCTCTCCCTGCCGCCCGCGTTCACGTCGTTCCACGCGTCCGCGAAAACCCTGATTCTGAACTGCAGCTCCGCCAGCCCGTTGGTTCTCGACCAGCTGTTCCTCTTCGGGAAGACGAGGCTGCATATCTCATCGTTCGCCGTTGGATCTGTCCGCGCGCTCTACCTGAACGGTCCGATCAGGTTCTACCCGACATGGCCGAACCCGTATATTCTTAAGAAGCGGCAGGGGTTTGGAATGTACTCCGAGATGCCGCCGCCGCCTTTTCCTTGGGCTGACTGGCTGCGCGCACTAGCGCCGACAACGGAGGTTCTTATAGCGAGGCACGATATCCGCCTCGACTCCTGCGGAGTGGCCTGGCCGCGCCTGCAGAGCCTCGCGATCGTCGTGGAGTGCGACTGCGCGAGGGCGAAAGCGGTGCCCGGCGAAGTTACCCTAGAAGACGCGGTGCGAACAGACGCATGTCTGGGAGAAGCGGCGCGAGGAGTATTGGGGGAGGATGCGCGAGCAACGGCTGGAGGAGGACCGGCAGGACGAAGAACGCATGTCCGGCAAGTACACGACGCGCTTCCACACTGGCCCCTTCGGCAACCAAGTGGCCTTGGGATCGAAGATCGACAACGACACTGAGTACGATTACGAGCCGAACGAGGATGAGCGCTGGGAAAGCAGCTACGAAGAGTACGCAACCAAGTATTCCCTGGAACCTCCGCTCATCGAGGATCTGAAATTCGTCTTTTTTCCGACCAGCAGGCGCGCGGATGCGAACCTGCTGGGTGCGCTGCAAGCGGCGTATCCTAGCGTGGAAATGTACTGTGCTGAGGGGAGCTCTTGGTATTGGAAGAAGAACGGGGAGCGAGTGCCGGGAGGGGGGTCCGTCGAGCATGTGCGAAAACCACGGGCTGCGAAGAAGAAGAGAAGTGGCGTGGCTGTAACGAGGAGTTACAAAGGGGGGGTGAAGACCGTGCGGGACAAGGCGCACAGCGTAAATCGGAGGTTGATTGGCGAGGGGTACAGTATTGATGCGGAGGAGGCGTATGTGTTGCGGAACAAGGATCGGTACATGCGCTTGGATAACTCCGATGATGACTCTAGCGAGGGGGAGGAGGACTATGTCGAGGATGAGTGGTGGTAGTGGGCGGTTGGAGGAGCAGCAGGAGGAGGAGGATGGGCGGGGAAGGGAGAGGGTTTTGGGGAATGTGGGGACTTGGGGGAGCGACGAGGGGGTGATTGAGGCCGAGGATGATGGCGAAACGGGATGTAAGGGGGGTGGGGGGGGGGGGGTGCTACAAGCAAACGAGAGAAGACGATGGGAATGGGGACAGGGAGATACAGGACGGAGGGTGAGGTGCTGACGGTCAGGCGAAGACTTTGGGGGGGGGAAGCGTGGCGCGGCCAACGGGGACTTCAAGTCTCGTCCATGCAGCCTCTGCCTGTCCATGCACGCTCTGAACATGGGCATGAGGCCATGAGGGTACAAAGGCACATGTGGAGGTGTGTCACTGGAACGGGCGGATGGGAGGGGGATAAGACGGACACTCACCACCATGTAGGTTGTCAGGTAACAGTTCAAGAGGTACAGGGGAGACACATCCTGCATTTGGAGCAGCAACGGGGAACCAGAACGGCAGGAACTGGGAGCAGGGAAACCGGAAACAGGGTTGGGAACGAGGATTGGGGTATTGGGGACAGGGAATTGGGATAGAGACCAGGGGGGAGGGAGCGGTGGAGATGGGGGTGAAATAGAGCAGTGCAGAGGAGAGTAGCATGGAGCAGAAGCCATGTGCAATAGCTGAGAGGAGAGCGAGAGTGGCAACTAACACGTCATGAAGTGGATCCTTCTCTCGCCCCCCCAAGGCAAAGGTTACGACGCCCCGTTTCCTGGCATGGCGCCACGGGATTTGCGCTGGAGATTATCTGCAGTTCTGACATTGAGAATGGAGTGCTGGGAAGGCCGGCTGGTGTGCGATTAGGTGAACGACGCAACTGCCGTGGTGAGAACAAGGGGTTGAGGTAGAGATAGAGATTAAGTGCTAATGGGTGTTCATACACGTTCGTTGCTTTTCTTTGTAGGTCCTTGTGCAGTGCAGGCCTTAGTGTTGAATATATGGATTGGCATTCAGAGGAGGCCCCGCATATACGCCATTCATGAGTCATGTCCACCAAAGAGACTCTATACCTACGGCATATTTGCAATTTTTTCTGCCGATAATGCAAATGCATCGATATCTTGAATCTGCAAATGGACCCATTAGGAGCATGGTTTGTTGTACATGTAAAGGTGCTATGTGCGTGGATAAAGAAGTGCACATATCCAGGTTTTGCCACCGAGGCCAACTCAAGAACTTATGAGTTCTGACGTGTCACAACGTCGCGTCTGCGAACCAATGAGACGCTCACAGAATCCAGAGCCCAGCTCTCCACGTTTGCTTTCCTTCGGTCCGCGCCTGTGAGCTTGGACCAACCTGGTGCTTGGATGCCGAAATCCAACCTTGATAATCCACACCACTGCCGAGTCGCGAGTCTAGAAGGTAATACATTTTATTCGTTACCGGTCACAATGGTGAGTGCTGCATACAAATCTCGAGTATTCCAAACGTTTGCATTTGGCTTTATCTCTCTAGTGCAGTCTCACAATGAGCTAAACTTTCGCACAACACGGACACTTTTCCATGGGTGTCTACCAAAACATTTTCCAGTTGCAACCAGCAGATTTCCATTGGCACAAACCAACACCTCCCAAACAAATGAAAATAAGAGGCAATTGACGGCCTCTTCTTTTCATTTGGCTGCATCATAACTGATAAAACCGGCTCGAATTGCGCGAAATTGCACTCAACCTTTTACAGTACAAAAAAGCTCACTCACGACACGAACACCCGGTCACTTGGGAACTCAGCACTGAAGCGAAGCAAAATTCAGCCGACTAGCGAAGCTCCGTCGAGGCGAATAAAAGGTGAATTATAGGAACTCTCAGACCAGGCCAGGGCTACGGTGTGCATTCTGTACCTCACCTCATCTCCACAAGCTGCATGTGGTGGTGATCAGCAAAAGTATCAGAAACGAGCTACTGGTGAAAAGAATCCGCGTTGTGTCTGAGCAACGTCGCGCTCTCCTAGCTCTCATTAAGAACGGTAACGCCTCTCTCTAGTGGCTTATAGCCTCCGGTAGAACGTTAATCTCATAATCAGCGACAACATACTCGGCAGGCCGTGGGCTCGCGTCAACGAGCAGCGGCGACTGTTACCCCTGACAAAAACCATTCGCTGCGCTCGTCTCCGGCCGGCTCCAGTGCGAGTACCAACCGTCATTTCTGTGAAGACTCTCGCAGTCACTGCAGTAGGGAGCTCGCGGGTATTATCACTTCCACCACTCACGGGCGATCATGAGTCTAGCTGCGCACTGCCCGCCATGTGGACTCGTCAAATGCAGCCCAGCCGCGCGTCGGCTGGGCAACGCCGGACTTCCATTCGCGGCGGTCTCGTCGGTTCCGTCCGTTTCGCGCGTTTCGCTACTTCTGAGTGCTCGTCAAATCGCCCCAGCTGTCAGGCGCGACACGTTCGGAGCCCGCGCAATTGTGACTAAATCCGCAAGGGATGCACGGAGACTGGCGGTCCTGTCAAGACCAGTGCGATTCGCGACCTCAATAACTCATGAGTCGGACCACGTCAGTTACAGACACCCGCTTGTGTCCGCGATAAAAGCTCGCGCGGACACTGTGACTATCGACGAGCCTTATAGCGAATCCGCGGACGCAGCGGAGGAGGGCGGAAAGCCACAAGAGGCGGAAAGTTCGGGAATTGCCGGGGAGACGCGCGCGGCGGAAGAAGTCGCGGTGAAGGCGGCGGCGGCGGGCAGCGGCAGTGGCAGTAGCAGCGACAACGACGGAGGCGAGAAGCTGAGCCAAGCGACGCTGATTTGGCGCGCTGTGAAGCTGCCGATCTACAGCGTGGCGCTGATTCCGCTCATGGTGCGTCTGATTGGAAAGAACCTAGAATTGCGCGAGTAGGATAGTCCGCGTGGAAGGAGAGAGGACAGACTCTGGATAAGGCTTCTTTACTTTTAGCCGATTTCAAATCAAAAGTAATCGTTTACAAATGGGAACTATCCTAAGGCTCTCTCGTCATCTTCTCCCACACATCCCCTCGCGTCGCGTATGTCACTCTCGCCACTCTTGCCACTCACGCCTCCCTGCGTCGCTCTCGCCTCTTGCACTCGTCGCACGCCAGGTGGGGGCGTCAGCGGCATACCTACAGACAGGAGTTTTCCACGCGGGCAGATTCAACTCCTTCCTCCTCTTCTCCGTCCTCGTTATTGCGTGGCTCAATCTAAGGTACAGCACAGTGTCTTCTTCGCGAGTCACTCTACCTGATACTCCACCTGTTCCACATCTTCAATCAACGACACAGGGCGTTTTGAAATGCAATGCACATCTAGCCATGGGGTTTGCTGGTGAAGGCTCATTTCGTTTCCCACTCGCTTCCGTCCTGCCTAATACCTGCCTCCCCTCTCCCTGCTGCCTCTCCCTGTGACAGTAACGATGGATTCGATTCTTTCACTGGCGTGGATAAGACGAAGCCAGAGTCTGTGGTCAACCTGACGGGCAGGTGGGTCAACCTGACCGGCAGGTGGGTCAATCTGACGGGCAGGTGGGTCAACCTGACGGGCAGGTGAGTCAACCTGATGGGCAGGTGGGTCAACCTGACGGGCAGGTGGGTGAACCTGACGGGCAGGTAAGTCAGCCTGACGGGCAGGTGGGTCAACCTGACGGGCAGGTAAGTCAGCCTGACGGGCAGGTGGGTCAGCCTGACGGGTGGCCGAAGAACACATTGCTAGTTGGACCCATGCTCATCATCCATCCAATCACGGCACTGTGCAGCTCAAACGCCTCTCTGGATGAAAGAATGAGGGTGCTGGGCTCGCAAGAAAGACGGAGCAAGAGCATGAGGCAATCTGCAAGTCAAATCAGAACTCACTTCCACCGACACGTATATGATGGATATTAGGATTGAGTGTGGATGAAAGGCGACGGTAGTGTGACTAAGATGAATGGCTTAGAAGAGAGTCGAAACGTTCCGGCCAAGTATTGAGCGTTGCTATAGACGAAGAAGTAGCCTATGAGCTAGCCCGTAAAAGTCGGGGAACACCGAGGATTGCTAATGATTTATTCAACGAACGAGATAGACTTTGCTTCAGGAGCAACAAGAAGCAAGATTCCCTCCGTGACTCTTCTGCTCTTCTCAACTTCCATTTTATCCTCCCCCTCCCCCTCATTCCGTACCCTCCCCTACCCTTCCCTCTCTCCCTTTCCTCCCCACCTCTCCCCTCCCCTCCTCTCTGCAACTCCCCTCTCCCTCCCCTCTTTCTCCCCGCACCCACCGGTCGCTTCCGAGTGCTGGCAGCAGCTTTCCTCCTCCTGGGGGTGGGCCTCGCAGGGATCTTCTCACTTTCCTTCTGTGCCTCGTTTAATCTCCTCTCTTCCACCTCCCCCCTCCTCTCCCCTCCCCTTCCCCCCCACCTTCACACCCCCGCACCAGTCGCTTCCGAGTGCTGGCAGCGGCTTTCCTCATGCTGGGGGTGGGCCTCGCAGGGATCTTCTCAGGTGCAGCTGCTGTTGCGGATCCACGTGTTGGATGGCTATTGGCCGCCTCAATTGCCTGTGGCTACGTGTATCAGGTGAGTGAAGGCTATTTGTATCTATTCAGTAAAGTTCTGATTCAGGGAAGGGTTATTTAATCATAATGGAATTGTCGTTCACTCCCTCCTTCCGGCACATACGCGGCGCCTCATGACTGCTCCCAGCAGTCTGACATATTAGCTGATGCAGATTCGGCACGTTTATGATGATTTAAACCTCTTTTTTTCTTCCTTCCCGTGTACTTCCTGCCCTTTTCCCTCCCTTTTTCCCTCCCGACATGCGCCTCTTTTCCCCCTCTCCCTCCCCGCTTTCCTCCCCGTACACTTTTTTTTTTTTCCCCCGCCTCTCCCTCCTCTTTTTCCCTCCCCGCACACTCCCTTCTTCCCCCTCTCCCCACCTTCATTGCTCATGCCAGTGTCCGCCTTTCCGCCTGAGCTACAAGGGCTTGGGCGAGCCCCTCTGCTTCTTCGCTTTCGGCCCCTCTGCTACCACTGCCT